GCGAAAGAAACGTTCTTGTAAATATTGTTCTAGAATTGGTAAGAAAACTCCTAAGGGTTATTCTGTGGAGACTTCATTTGGGTGCAAGTTTTGTAATGTATTTCTGTGTAAAGATGACTGCTTTATCAGGTACCATGCCTGTATGCTACAGCATTGAGTAATATTTTTTTATAATAAATTAGAAACCAAGTGAATTGTAAAAATGCTTTTTTTTTTTTTAAATGAAATGAAACTACAGTGTCCTAGTCTTCTTTTCCCTGTGTACATGTCAACCTACCTGGCTCACACTGAATTGGTAAAGAAGTTTTGGGTAATGGGAGTACAAATATGCAAATTAGTAATGGGCCCTGCAACATTGTTGCAACAAAGTATCTATGGTGTGCAAAGGGTTAACATCATAAAAACAAAAATGATACACTTGTACATGAAACAGTGGGTAATGAACTGTAAATGCAGGCGGTTGCGCTGTCAGGCGAGCGAGCGAGCGAGCGATTGCGCGAGCGGATACTTCCGGATTTGCGCGGTCGAAAAAAAAAAGCGGAAATTGCGCGGTCGAATTGAACAAAGCGAGCGAAAAAAAAGCGATCGAAATCCGGAAGCGGGCGGGAGGTTCGGCGAAATGAGTACTGTATGATAATAAAAACTTGATAATATTCTTCTGGATTTTTGTACTTTATTTGTATCATTGTCGTATGAGAAGTAATCTCGTCCTTATTAGAGATATTGAAACTGATCCAGGGCCACAAACTAGTTTATCCAAACAGACACAACACTGACTTTACATATTTGCAGATCTGATTTGTATACTTCCTTGTCATTTTACCTGTTGTACTGGTTTGGTGTTATCTGGTTTCCTTGCTGAGAATAATGCTGATCTGGATGGAGAGTGCTATAAACTTGAAAATGCCAGAGAAATCATGTTTGCCAATTTATGTCCATGCAACTTTAGAATGACAACTAGCGAAGGCAGTGTCATTCATGACTTGTCACTTGTATCTCGAGGACCACCCAGCGAATTGCAATGAAACTTAAAAACACGCTCTCAAATAGTCTACAGTACTGTTTGAATTTAGGAATGAAACCATGCATATTTGTTACCTAATTTGGAAATAAGTTGGGCATATTCTGATATCTTGAGCCATTCATCAGATTTCAATGAAACTTCGTACATAGATGCTCTGTGGTTAATCAACCAACATTCTTTGTTAAAAATTTTCCGATATCTAAATATGTATTGATCTAATTTAAATTGAACTTATTGCATATGTGGTTCGGGATAAATCATACTGCAAACCAGTTTTACAATTAAATATAGTTTTGCTTTATTAAGATTTTTCTGTTAGTATTGTAAACTTAAAAGATGTAGATCACAGTGCTTTCACATATTGCAGTTCAGGCATATCTACATTAGTTGGGTCGGGTTTTTGTAATTTTAAATATTTTGTTCTGCTTCAATGCCTCCAATATCGATAGTTTTTTGTAAGCTCTTATTGATTTATTAGTCTAACTCAAGATAAACTATTCCCATGGTATTGAATTTTTATACATGTATAACCCTACATTCTCGTATGAAATGCTCTAGCTATATTAAAATCTTTTTCTTTTGCTTGTCAATTCTTTATGCTATTGTAATAGTGTATAAAGAAAACAGCAGAACTGTTTCATAACTTAACCTCTTGGTAGTTCAAGCTGAATTCAATTATCGTATGTCATCGCATTTCACTGCATATATGTGCAGTGCATTATGGGATAGTGTCTTCCATTGATTATAATGTATAACAGTGTAATTTTTAGTTAGCAATCATATCAATAATAGGAAAATCCAATAATATACAACTTTATCATCTCATGTGAAATTCAAAAATGCAATTTTTTTATTTCAGTGTGTTTGCTCACTAAGGTGTGTCTATAAATAAAATCTCAAGCTTCTGAGCAAATTTTTATCAAATTTGGTATTTGTAACATTTATTGCAGGATATCTTTGTATTGAAACATTGGTGAAAAGTGTTGGCTCACTTCACATGTGAGAAGCTTAGCCCCAAAACACTGGCTGATGCCGCCATGTAATTTATTTCAACAATATTTTGACAATTGCAGAATTCCTGATTAATGTGAAGTTTCCATATCGTGCTCTAGCATTACAACCTAGAGGTCTGAACAATGTTGGTAATTGGTGCTATATTAATGCTGTATCCTTTTGTTCAATAACCTGAACCCACTATACATAGTTTCTCACAGGAATTCATAATATGCAACTTGTCCATGTATAGCAATTTACATGAGACAAAGGTCTTGTTGAAATCGCACTCATACAATGTATACCATACTGTACTGTGTCAGTATACAGAACAAAGACTTTTGGACATTGAGTTCCATTTATCAATTTATCTGTCCATTCTATCATAAATTCTTCAGACATGGTCGACTGTTTCGAGTCAACTGACAATATGCTCAAATACCATGTTTGATTATCACTCTGTGTCAGAGAAAGTTCTGAGGGAAATATGTTCCAAACTTAAATAAGGGTACCATACGCATTTAGCGCAGAGCAAACGTTGCATTATTACATGTACATGATTAAGGCGTGTGCACATTTTTGTTGTTGCAAAAATGGCCTAATGGCTGCCAACCATTTTACAATCCGGATATTTTTGCTCTGAAACAAGTCTTTAATGACATTTATTTCACCTGATTGGACCAATTTCATTGTAGCACAGATTTATTATTTGCCAAACTTGAGAGTGAATCCGCATACTCTTGGAAAAGTGGGGTGTTCTAACATTATTAATTTTACAGTGAGTAATTTATTTTTACTCTGTGCTAAAGGTGAACATCAAGTTTTGATATCTTGATATGACATGCACACATTTTTCCATTGTTTAAGAATACAGTGGTCTTAATTGAACAGGATTTCACCTTTAACCTTTTCACCACCAGACTTTCTTGCCCAAATCTTTCTGCACTCTTTAGTCCCTATTTGAGCATGGATTGACCTCTGTGCATCTGCGTCCGTCCGTCCGTCCGTCCATGCATGCATGCATGCATGCATACATGCGTCTGATTACATTCAAACTTCATACATGCATCATACATAATATTATACTTATGCACATCAACTTCTTTGACAACTTCATTTTTTTGTGCTGAAAAATCATCAAAATCAAGCATTTCTGGCATTCCGGAACCAATCTTGTATCTTTACAGATGGATTTTGTTGAAACTTGATACATACATTAGACATGGGACCTTGATGCACATAATTTTGTGTTAAGGAATGCCGTTTTAGTGCCATATTTCTGACATTTCTGCTTTTGACAGATTATGTTCAAATTTGATATATTCACTATACATCATGTTATAGACATACACATGTATTGGTTTGACAATCAGATTCAAAATGGCAGAATGATGGCCATTTTTGTGCTAAAAATCATAAAAAATCTGGCATTTCAGAATCTGATCAGTCTTTTATGTATGAATTTTGTTTAAACTTGGTACATACATTAGACATTATGGGTCCTTGATGCACGTCATTTTGTTTTTCAGATCAGAATTAAAAATGGCTGACTGGTAGCCTTTTTGTTTTAATGAATGTGGTTCTAGAAGTTGTGATTTTAATGTTGAAAAAGCAACAGCTTCTGAATCTGACTTGTTTAAGTTACAACTATATTACTATAAACAAAACTACATATCTTAAATTTGATAACAATCGGACTGGTGCATGGCTTGTTCTTACATTCATCAATATTTCGCAAATTTTTAAGCCAACAGGCAAAGTTTGAGTAAATTTTTAGTTTTTACCCCAAAATTTTGTTATTTTTGTCCCAATCTTGTAATGGAAAGTGCAGACTATAAACGGGACTGTTTTGTGAATTTGTGATGAAAATAGGGAACTGGTGGTGAAAAGGTTAATACCTGTTAAGTTGAAGATCATATAAACAGCCAGCCATTTTCCTTAACCATAACTGTTGCAGACTTTACAAGCATTATTATCCTGTCCACCAATGTACAATTTACTGAAGTCATTGCCAGTTACTCCCTTATTCAGACGTGGTCCAAGTTGCACACCAATGATGGATTGCTTGTAAGTACAACATGTATCCCTTGTATTTATGTATCTGAGTGATGACTGATATAATGCCTAGTACACTTCAAATTGACAACCAGAGCTGCTGAGCTGCAGTAAGAAGGGAAGGTTATAAAATGCCAATTTACAGAAAAGACTTTCTTGTTACCGCCTACCCCTAAACTTGCCCTTACTCTTCATTGCCCCCTAAATTATTGTATATGCACCTCTTGAGGACAGTAATTCATTATTGTCTAGGGGGGGCATATATAATTGAATTTGAGGCTGGGGGGTTAGGGCTCGAGTTAGGGTAAGGCATAAGGGTCTTTCCAATTTTGAAGTAACTAGTGTAAAGTATTAGGCAATAAATGACCAAACTTTACTGTGGTATTTCATGACAACTACACTAACATACAATCGTTATTCTGTAAACTCATTAATTATTTGTTGGTTTGTAATCTTGCTATGTTTGCAGATAAGTACAATTTGCAAAAATAACAATAGAGCTCATTGTTTTTCTACTAAATTTGTGAACAGAAAAGCCTAGTGAAATTGCTTGAAGTATTAAAATAGTGTAAATAAATCGTTTTACAGTATTTGAAGTACAGTGTAATCTACTGTTTTATTTTTCAGAGCGCATTTTGTCACTGAATTTACACCCATGCCAAAGGCTGGTAAGTCTATTCAAATCATACAGTTATGTATCTAATCATGCAGTGTAAATTCACAGAAGATCTACTACAGTTCATTGAATTAGGGACAAAAAAATGTTTGATATTGGCGCAAGTTATCAACTTGTTTATTTTTTAAATAATATCTATAGTGTCCTTCCTAAAAAGTATACAGTATTCCTGACAACTGAGAATAACCCATCTAATAAATTCTTGTGATTTATTTCTTGGTAGCTGAACAAAGTTTTGAGATGAGACTCTTTAACCATAAAAACTAAGCGTGTAAGTGACTGAAATCACCATTTTCATGGATGTTTGACCTGTGATTTGTTGGTAAAGTAGTTTGGTGACCGTAAATTTTAAATTTGTTAAACCATATAAAAGTCCGGAATCATGTTTTTAATGGTAGCCAACTACCTTAATTCCACTAACCTCATAAAATTTCTTTTGGATTTGGCAAAAACAAATTATGTCTAACTGAGGTATATTTCAATTTGCACACTGGTCACTGGTAGCATAGTGGTTGTTGCATCAGACTTATGATCGATAGACTCAAGTTCAGGCTTAACACCAAAAAGTGTAGATCCCTACAGACAATGGGAAGGCAGAAACTCATTCACCAACGAATGTTACTTTGGGGGATTTTTGGTTAAGGTCTTGTGTTTGACAGAGCCTGGTTGACATCAGGATAGCACATTAAAATTGCCATTTGACAGAGAGATGGCCACACAGCCCTGTCATGGCCGATTGGTGGCAATTTTTGTGCTAAAAAAAATATCAAATATCAAGCATTTCTGGCATTTATGGATGGATTTCGTTCAAACTTGGTACATACATTAGATATTACAGGTTCCTGATGCACGTCATTTTATTTTTCAGGTCTGATTCCAAATGGCTGACTGGCGGCCATTTTGTTTTAATGAATGGGCTTCTAGACCCATACATGTATCTCTGACTTGGTTTGACTGATTATGTTCAAATTTTTAATATTCATTATACATCATGTCATAGATATAGAGATATATTGGTTTGACAATCCTATTCAAAATGGCCGAATGGTGGACATTTTTGTGCTAAAAAATCATCAAATATCAAGCTTTTCTGGCATTTATGAATGGATTTTGTTCCAACTTAGTACATACATTAGACATTACGGGTTCCTGATGCACATCATTTTATTTTTCAGATCGGATTCAAAATGGCTGACTGGCGGTCATTTTGTTTCAATGATTGGGCTTCTAGAGTCATATCTCTGACATGCTTTGACTGATTATGTTCAAATTTTATACATTCATCATACATCATGTTATAGATATATACATGTATTCAAAATGCCTGATTTAGTTATAATTAATGCTGTTCCAGAGCAATGTCTCCCAATATGGACAAGTACTCGTTTGACAATCAAATAGAAATGTCAATCATTTTAATGTTAAACAATCATCATAATTATATTCCTGACATGGTTATATTCCAGCTATATAACTATAAACAAAACTATACATCTTAAATTTGATAACTAACGGGGATTTTGCCATGCATGGCTTGTTTTTAAAAGCATGTTTCAAATTAGATATGAGGATTCTTTCATTTGAGATTCCTCATGATGAACCATACAAAATTATGATGCTCACAAGCATTAGTGAGAAGTTTTCTTTGGGTTCCATAAGTGGAAATGGAACTTTAACAATTTACATTTTTTGGCAGATAGAAATTAGTCCTCATTGTTAGAATGCGTAGCATAATATTTGTTCGCTTCTTTCTTTACCCTGAACAGGGTTTGATATAACATTCAATTTTATTGCAGGTGGTGTGAAAAGAACAGCTCAAGATTTACGTCCAGGTGCTCCATTTGAACCGACTTACGTTTATCGTCTTCTTGCGTTGGTTAAATCAAGCATGTCTACCAAGGTATGTATTTCACAATTGCTGAAAACAGAAAGTGGTCATGGAAACTTTAAACATCAAAAACTTGCATTATCCATAAACAGGGGTACAAAAATTGGGTCAGGGTTGGTTTCAAACTCGTGTTTTCAAGGTTACCATGACCACTTTCTGAGATTTCTGTTTCTGGCAATTCCACTCTATGCAAATGAACAGTCTGTCTTGTGAGATGTGGTTTTTTAAACGATTTTGGCACCATAATACTACTTCGGACTAGGTAATAGTGTTATTTTGTGTATCCAATTGTCCTAATAAAGTAACAAAGCATTGGCAGTTGCCCCGGTCAACCATTTTGTCCTAATGAGCCTATGTACATGGCATAGGCAGTTGTCCGGGACAACCATTTTGTCATGGGGGAAACCAAAAATGAAGTGGTTGTCCCAGGCAATTGCCAATGCCCTGTACCTATTTCATACCAACAAAGAACAAGAAGAAATGTTTCAATACAGTGTGCAGCCACACAGTAACAAAGGATATTGTACAGCTCCCTCTGTTGTATGTGGTGACAGAAAAATAAAATACATTCAGTAATAAATTATCAGTTAACATGTCGCCTATACAGAAAGCTTTAATAATATATTATTGCGTTGGCATGGGATGTGTTAATGAAATATTTTTGTGTGAATGCTGTACACAAAGATGACACTATGTTTAATGAATGAATTTTGGCAAATTTTTTGTTCAGGGGAGACAAGAAGATGCCGAAGAGTTCCTTGGCTTTGTCTTGAATGGTTTACATGAAGAAATGTTAGCTTGCATGCAGTACTTTACAGGCGTTAAGGAGGAAACAAGTAAGCCCCCTCTCCCTCTCTACTCGTCTATTTACTCCCATGTATCTGTTAAGGATCAGTGTGCACTAGTATTGGTACACGGTAATAAATTCTGAGATACGTCTATGACAGTATATTGGACAGTAAAATGGCAGCCATTTTTATACTGAAAATTCATCAAAATTAAGTATTTCTCTGCTGTTTAAAGATGGATTTTGTTCAAACTTAGTACATACATTAGACATTACGGGTTCCTGACGCACATCATTTTATTTTTTAGATCGGATTCAAAATGGCTGACTGGCAGCCATTTTGTTTCAATGATTGGGCTTCTAGAGCCATATCTCTGACTTGCTTTGACTGATTATGTTCAAATTTTAGATATTCGTTATACATCATGTCATAGATAGATATATTGGTTTGACGATCCTATTAAAAATGGCCGAATGGTGGCCATTTTTGTGCTAAAAAAATCATCAAATATCAAGCATTTCTGGCATTTCTGGATGGATTTCGTTCAAACATACATTAGACATTACGAGTTCCTGATGCACGTCATTTTATTAGCTCCGCTGTCGACTTTGTCGAGCGGAGCTTATCATACGAGTGATTGTCCGTCGTCCGTGTCAATGTTTTACTTTGTTGACTTCTTCTTGAAAACTATAAGCCTGAATGCTTTGATACTTGGTGTATATGTACCTTGGTTAGACCTCTCTCAGATTTGTTCATTTTGTAATGATATCTTCAATTCTCTAATTTTGGTGAATATTTTTGTCATTTTTGGTAAAAAGTGATATTTTTGACTTCTTGTTAAAAACCGCAAGTTCAATTGCTTTGATACTACATATATAGGTACTACATGTGGACCTCTCTCAGATTTGTTCATTTTGTAATGATATCTTAAATTTTTTAATATTGGTGAATATTTTGGTCATTTTTGGTAAAAAGTGATATTTTCGACTTATTGTTAAAAACCACAAGTCTGATTGCTTTGATATTACATATATAGGTACTACATGTGGACCACTCTCAGATTTGTTCATTTCATGATGATATCTTCAATTATCTAATTTTGATGAATATTTTTGTAATTTTTGGTGAAAAGTGATATTTTTGAATTCTTGTTGAAAACAGAAAGTCCTGTTGCTTTGATACTATACATATTGTTCATTTTCTAATGATATCTTCTGTTCTTTAATTGCAATGTGCATTGATAACAGTGGAGCTATCTCAGCCGACAGGCTGCTTGTTTTACAGATTGGATTCAAAATGGCTGTCTGGCGGCCATTTTATTTTAATGAATGGGCTT